TGAAGGCAGGCAGGCAAAGGCACAAAGTCCTGCATCCCTCACGCCTTCCAGGAGCTCGTAGGCTACGTGGAGTTGTGCTTAAATGCATTTCATTTCATCACCTGAGGAACCAAAAGATCATCTGTTCTGCTGCTGCTCTTAACATTTTCACCAACAGTGCAGTGGATTGAGCCAGGAGGTTGGGCAAATGCTCTTCCGTGAAGCCACAGCCCGCTCCATTCTGCTACTCTAAAGGGAGATGGGAGGCCCCAGGGGACGTTCCAGACCTCAGGAGCTGTGCCTGTGCCTGTGCCCACAGTGCTGTGTACGTGAAACTCACCTGGTTCTTAACAGTTCTTCTGAAGGGACAGTAGCACTCCCCTCCTGCAGGCAGGTGAGGTCAGTTTCCAGGGCCTGGAGGTCAGGACTTAAAGCCATCGTGTACACCGAGATCAGAGGTCCTTGACATAGGGAATGCATGGATCATGGGAACAAGTTTTGTTGCATAACGTGGGTAACTGTAGATCATGAAGGTAACATGCAGATACTACTGGGTGCCTTCACTGTACCTAGGGAAGGGCCACTGGCCTCGCAGCTCCTGCGGCATCCACTGACGTTTCGTACCCATGAAATCCCGTAAGCTGGGTACCGATGACCACCTTTGCCTTTAATCAGCTCTCTCTCCCCACTGTACAGGCTGATTACCTGGTTATCTTTTCAGATGTCCTCTAACCTGCTGCCACGACCCCGCGCTCATCAGTTCTTACCTGCTAGTCCTCCACCAGGATGCCTTCCTGTTTCACACTGTTCTATTAGATCTCTGTTGCAGCCAGATTTTTTTTTTTAATTATGGAAAACTTCAAACACAGGAAAGATGAGGGACGCGTAGGGTCTGTCTTGCTCAGCCTCAGCGGTCCTAGCTCCTGGGAATCTATGGCCCTGTTTCCAAGCTCTGGAGAGCTTAAAGAAAAGGCAAGCTGTAACTATCCATTGGTAAATAAAAGATTTTTTAAAAATACAAGTCTTAATATACTACTCTGGTTCAAAGTCCTTCAACACCTCATCTCTCCCCAAATCTCTCCAGCTTCTCCATAGAAAGGCCACAAAAAATAGACCTGGGAAGTTGTAAGACAACTTAGAACACTGCCAGGCCTGAGGAATTTCTCAGTGGATGGTAGCACTCATCATTGCTGTCGTGAAAAGCCAGGTACAAGAGGATGGATGCGCTCTTTTGGCTTGGTGC